TGTCCACGTCATAAACTTTGAGTAGTGCTACGCTTCTGGCAAAGGGTCACATAATGGTAGGCCCTCCCTATTAGAGGACATATAATGCAATGGCTACCGCAGAGAATTAGACGTATGCCTCCAAACAAATAAACTTTCAATCCAAAATAAAAATCATTAATATCATGGGAATAAAATTATACAAAACTGATAACCCGAGCGAAACCGTAAACAGCCCAAAATTTGCTCGAAGGAAAAATTTGCTCTCTGGAAAGCATCATTGTGGTAAAGGTCGTAATGCTAGAGGAATCATTACATCAAGGCATAGGGGGGGGGGTCATAAGCGCCTATACCGTAAAATAGACTTTCGACGGAATGAAAAAGACCTATATGGTAGAATCATAACCATAGAATATGACCCTAATAGAAATGCAAACATTTGTCTAATACATTATCGGACTGGTGAGAAGAAGTATATTTTACATCCGAGAGGGGCTCAAATTGGAGATACGATTGTTTCTGGTACAGATGTTTCAATCAAAATTGGAAATACCCTACCTTTGACCGAAATCCCCTTAGGCACGACTATACATAACCTAGAAATCACACGTGGAAGGGGTGGACAATTAGCTCGAGCAGCGGGTGCAATGGCGAAACTGATTGCAAAAGAGGGTAAATCAGCCACATTAAAATTACCTTCTGGCGAGGTCCGTTTTATATCCCAAAATTGCTCCGCAACAATCGGACAAGTCGGAAATGTTGGGTTCAACCAAAAAAATTTGGGTAGAGCTGGAGCTAAACGATGGCTAGGTAAGCGTCCTGTAGTTAGAGGAGTAGCTATGAACCCCGTAGACCATCCACATGGGGGCGGTGAGGGTAGAGCCCCTATTGGGAGAAAAAAACCTACAACCCCTTGGGGTTATCCCGCACTTGGAAGAAAAACTAGAAAGAGGAATAAATATAGTGAGAAGCTCATTCTTCGTCATCGCAGTTAATATAATATATTATAGTATCAAAATTAATAGAATAGAGCAAATTAAATTTCTTCATTCAATTATATGAAAAATAAAAAAATAAAAGAATAATAAAATTTATAGGAGTAAACTGTGGCACGTTCACTAAAAAAAAATCCCTTTGTATCTCAGAATTTATTAAAAAAAATTGAGAAACTTAACATAAAGGGAGAAAAAGAAATAATAATAACTTGGTCCCGGGGATCTACTATTATTCCAATAATGATTGGTCATACTATTGCGATTCATAATGGGAAAGAGCATCTCCCTATTTATATAATGGATCATATGGTCGGACACAAATTGGGAGAATTTGCAACTACTTTAAATTTTCGAGGACATGCAAAAAATGATAATAGATCTCATCGGTAATGTGAATACTAAAAAATATCTTGATGCTTATGAGTCATTAGTAGGAGGCAAACTTATGTACCAGATGCTAAATAAAAAAACCCCAGAAGTATACGTTTTAGGTCGACGTATAGCTATGTCGGCTAATAAAGCAAGAAGAGTTATTTATCAAATTCGTGGGCGTTCCTATGAGGAAACACTTATTATATTAGAACTCATGCCCTATCGTGCCAGTTATCAAATTTTAAAATTGGTTTATTCAGCCGCATCAAATGCTAGTTACACTATGGCTGCAAATAAAGCAAATTTAGTTATTAGTAAAGCTGAAGTGAATGAGGGGACTGCTCGAAAAAAATTAAAACCTCGGGCTCGTGGGCGTAGTTATCCAATAAAAAGACCGACCTGCCATATCAGTATTGTACTAAAAGATATTTCATTCAATGATTCTGAATCTGTGGAGCTCGGTTTGCTAAAAAAACCACAAGCGAAAAAAAATTCTAGAACTAAAGCATATTCTGATATCCAGAATAGGAGGTATTTATGGGACAAAAAATAAATCCACTTGGTTTCAGACTTGGTACAAACCAGGCCCATTATTCACTTTGGTTTTCAAAACCAAAAACGTATGCTGAAAATCTGCAAGAAGATCAAAAGATAAGAGCTTTTATCAAAAATTATGTACAAAAAAATAGAATCAAACCCTCGGCTACCGAGGGAATTGCAAGTATATATATTAAAAAAAGACTCGATCTAATCCAAGTCATAATATATATGGGATTTCCAAAAATATTTATGGAAAATAGCCCACAGGGAGTTGAAGAATTACAAAAAGCTCTACAAAAAAAATTAAATTTTGTAAACCGAAAACTGAATATTGCTATCACAAAAATTGAAAAACCGTATGGAAATCCTAATATTCTTGCCGAATTTATAGCTGGACAATTAAAGAATAGAGTTTCCTTTCGAAAAGCAATGAAAAAAGCTATTGAATTAGCTGAACAAGCAGATACAAAAGGAATTCAAGTACAAATTGCGGGACGCCTTGACGGAAAGGAAATTGCACGTGTGGAATGGATAAGAGAAGGAAGAGTTCCCCGACAAACTATTCAAGCTAAAATGGATTATTGTTGTTATTCAGTTCGAACTATCTACGGGGTTTTAGGCATAAAAATTTGGATATTTTTTGATGAAGCTCAATAAAATTTTATTCATTCTTTTTACCTGTAATACCAAGCGGCCCATTTCACAAATTATTTTGTGTAATGAGCAGGAACAGTTCTAATTGATTTCTAATTGATAATAATGAATTCTATAAGGTTGAATAAAAATTTTATTTATTTTTTAATAAAAATATCATTGCTATGCTTAGTGTGCGACTCGTTCATTTTTTAAGGTTAGCATGAAACCAAACCCAAAGTAACAACTACTCACTCGAGAAGAAATTACCTAATAACTAACTCATCAATTTCGCATTATCTGGATCTAAATAACCAGTCATGATATGATTAGCGCTCATATCGTTGTAGCAATTGCCATTTATTTGCATAAACAAAAATTATTCAAATATTATTGAAGTTGCCAAGCAAGATATAAAAAAGATGTAGATAATTGGAAGGGAGAGAGAAAGGAAGAAAAATAAGCTCAATGATTGAAAATTCCAATATGTAGGGTCTAACAAAATAGGCAATGTAATGAAGCATTAATACTTAAATTCTGCATATTCAAGTATTTGAAATAGAATAAAAAATCTAAGAATATTCAATAATAAAAAACAATATACTCTTATTATAGAAATTAAATTATAGAATAGATAATTATTAGATAAATTTAAAGTAAAGAGCTTAAAGCCAATAAAGACTAAGAAAAAATGGCTCAAGACTCAAATTATTCATATATTACTATTTGAGCTCCATTGTAAAATTAGGACCTAACCATTAAGTAAGAAGTGATGGGGACGACGGAACTTATGAATAAAAAAGATTCAATTTAAGATTAAATAAAAAAAATCTTAAATATTCACTGGCTGGGATGGCGAAATAAACCAATGTTAAATTATTTGATTTCTAGATAGTAGCTAGAAGATGTAACAGGCTCGTCCTAGAAATGAAATCTAAATTGACAGAGTCAATATTCGCCCGCGAAAACTTTTTGCAAAAGAATCAAAAAGCAATATAAAGACAATATTCAAGAATAGTCAAAAAGAAGGATTAGTTAGACTCAGAGAATCATGAAAAAAGTGTAGAATAAGTCATTTTATTTCAAATAGATTGAAAAAAAATATCACTCAATTCCTAAATATTATTTGGACTTCTCAGTCCATATTATTATTATAGATCTTATTATCTATATTTAGATTTGTAGTATTTATCTTAGTATCTATCTTTAGATTGAAGATTTAGATATCTTCACTATGATTAATCAATTTTAGTCAAAAGCTCATTTTGTAAATCCTTTATTCGTAATTCGCGAGGAGCTGGATGAGAAGAAACTCTCACGTCCGGTTCTGTAGTAGAGATGTAATAAATAAAAATCCATCAACTATAACCCCAAAAGAACCAGATTCCGTAAACAACATAGAGGAAGAATGAAGGGAATAGCTTCTCGAGGTAATCATATCTGTTTCGGTAAATATGCGCTTCAAGCACTTGAACCCGCTTGGATCACATCTAGACAAATAGAAGCCGGCCGACGGGCAATGACACGAAATGCACGTCGTGGAGGAAAAATATGGGTACGTATATTTCCTGATAAACCAGTTACTGTACGACCCGCAGAAACACGTATGGGTTCAGGAAAAGGATCCCCTGAATATTGGGTTGCTGTTGTTAAACCCGGTCGGATCCTTTTTGAAATGGGTGGAGTAACAAAAAATATTGCCAGAAAAGCTATTTCAATAGCAGCATCGAAAATGCCGATACGAACTCAATTCATTATTTCGGAGATAGAATAGAAAATATCACTCTAAAACTACCCCAAAGAATCTTAAGAATGAAACAAAAACAAAAAAATAAGTTTCGTTTTATGTTTGTGGACAAAAAATATTTCTTTTTTTCTTCGCCCTTTGCATTGTGAAAGAAAAGAATAAAAAAAAAATGCTATGATTCAATCCCAAACCCTTTTAAATGTAGCAGATAACAGCGGGGCTCGAAAATTGATGTGTATTCGAATAATAGGAGCTAGCAATCGTCGATATGCTTATATTGGTGACATTATTGTTGCTGTTATCAAAGAAGCTGTACCTAATATGCCTCTACAAAGATCTGAAGTCGTTAGAGCCGTAATCGTGCGTACCTGTAAAGAACTAAAACGCGGCAACGGGATAATAATACGATATGATGATAATGCCGCAGTTGTTATTGATAAAGAAGGAAATCCAAAAGGGACCAGAATTTTTGGTCCAATCCCCCGGGAGTTGAGACAATTAAATTTTACTAAAATAGTTTCATTAGCTCCTGAGGTATTATAAAAAAAATTCAAAAAAAAAAATGGAGTAGAATCTGTCTCACGTATATAATTTTAAGATTAAAATTAAAGTAAGATAAACACAATAATCCATAGACAATAAAAAAAACACGTTGAGAATATAAAATTTTTGAGTCCCATAATTAGAGTTTATCATGGGTAGGGACACTATTGCTGAGATAATAACTTCTATACGGAATGCTGATATGGATCGAAAAAGAATGGTTCGAATCCCATCCAGTAATATTAACGAAAAGATTGTAAAACTCCTTTTAAAAGAAGGTTTTATTGAAAGTGTGAGAAAACATCGAGAAAACAACAAGAATTTTTTAGTTTTAACTCTGCAACATATCAAGACTAAAAAAAGGACCTTTAGCAATATTCTAAATTTAAAACGGATAAGTCGACCCGGTCTACGAATGTATTCTACGTCTAAAAAAATACCTAAAATTTTAGGCGGGATGGGGGTTGTAATTCTTTCTACTTCACGTGGTATAATGACAGACCGAGAAGCCCGACTGCAAAGAATCGGGGGGGAAATTTTGTGTTATATATGGTAATATTTTAAAGATCACAATAAAGAACAAAAATCACTTTCTTTTTTTTTTTTTAAGTTCTGTTTGTGAAAATAGGCTAAATCCTTTTTTAGTTTACTTCAGAACAAGTCGATGAATCTTTTGCAACACAACAATGATTCAAAGGAGTCGTTTCTCAACTTAGCTATTCATTTAGCAAGAATAACAAAATTATAAATTTAAAATAGAAAAAAATGAATGTATTTATTAGAATCTTCCAATAAAACCGAAACTCTAAAGTAAATTTAAAAGAAATGTAAGGAGTCTTTATATGAAAATAAGAGCTTCTGTTCGTAAAATTTGTGACAGATGTCGATTAATACGGAGAAGGGGACGACTTATAGTAATATGTTCCAATCCCAGACATAAACAACGACAGGGATAATAAGACTTCGCAACTTAACTTAGTAACTAAACCAATTCTATAAATGAAAGAATTGTGAAATGGATATATCCATATAGTGTATCGCTGACTCAGATTTAAAAAATGCTTAATGGTAAAATATATATCGAAAATTAGTTCGCGTAGAAAGGGCGGACGTAGTGGTTCACGTCAGAATGCACGTAGAATACCAAAAGGAGTAATTCATGTTCAAGCCAGTTTCCATAATACCATAGTGACTATTACAGATGTACAGGGACGGGTAGTTTCTTGGTCCTCTGCCGGTACTTCTGGATTCAAAGGAACCAGAAGAGGAACACCTTTTGCTGCTCAAACCGCGGTAATAAATGCTCTTCGTAAAGTAATGAATCGAGGTATGCTACGAGCTGAAGTATTTATAAAAGGTCCCGGTCTCGGAAGAGATGCAGCATTACGAGCTATTCATAGAAGCGGTCTACTATTAACTTTTATAAGGGATATAACCCCTATGCCACACAATGGCTGTAGACCCCCCAAAAAACGACGTGTGTAGAAATCAAAAGTGAACCTATATCAAGAGAAATAGAAGATTCACTAATATACTAAATCAAAATTTTTATGGTTCGAGAGAAAGTAGCAGTATCTACTCGGACACTACAGTGGAAATGTGTTGAATCAAGAATAGACAGTAAACGCCTTTTTTATGGCCGCTTTATCCTATCTCCACTTATAAAAGGTCAAGCCGATACAATAGGAATTGCGATGCGAAGAGCTTTACTGGGAGAAATAGAAGGGACATGTATCACACGTGTAAAATCTGAGAAAGCCTCGCATGAGTATCTACCATAGGCGGGATTCAAGAATCGATACATGAGATTTTAATGAATTTGAAAGAAATTGTATTGAGGAGCAATCAATATGGAACTTGTGATGCGTCTATTTGTATCAAGGGA